TGTTCTTGCCTGTGCACCTTTGTCTCTGCAGTCTTTGAGGAGCACACATTCAAAGAACTCACCTGCTTGAAAGTGCACAGGAGCCGGCAGACAGGCCGCCCAGTGCTGTGAGCTCAGTACAGCTTTTCATTTAAGCTGGCTTGTCTGGAGAGAGGTAACTCCAGGGGGCCTGCCTGTTGTGCGCAGGGAGTCCTGCACGGATTTTCTCTCTAGTTGCCATTTCGCCTTAAGGACAAGGTGGCGACTGCTCATTTAAGGCTCTGAAGGTCCTGGCCAATGTCATACAGTCCCATTGCTTATTTTGTTTCTGATTTTATTTTTCCCTCTGGAATGTAAGTTCCCTGAGGCCAGGGAGTCCATCTTTTAATTTAATCATAAAAATTATGCTGGCACAGTTGGGAAACACTACTGGAGAGTCAGAACAATGAAATTTTTTCTAGGTAAGCCCGTGTAGGGGTTCTCAAACAGGGGGCATTTGGCAGTGCCTGGGACATTTTGGGTTGTCACTTGGGGTACTAGTGACATCTGATGGGTAAAGGCTAGGGATACCGGTTAACATTCTGCAATGCACAGGTCAGCCCCTGTAACAAAGGATTATCTGGCCCCAAAGGTCAGTAGTGCCTAAGGTTGAGTGAGAAACCCTGGTTTATAGGAATTTAGTTACTATCTAGACCAGATTATTGTTTCTCTAGACATACATAGTCCAGTTTAATTGGTAGCATAGTCCTGTCTTTTCTTAAGCAGACACACTGGGTAGAGTTAAGAGAAGCTTCTTTGAAAGAAACTCTTATAAGAGATGAACCTGGAACAGGAATTTGAATCAGCTGGAGCTGCTTAGGCACCTCAGGCTTTCGGTTTGTTCACAAGTTGCAGGGTGGTAGGTGAAATGTAAAGCACTTGGCCGGGTGCGTGACATGTGGTAGGTACTAAGTGTCTTCCTTCATTGCTTGCTTGCTTGCTTGTGGTAGGTAATGCAGTTTTGTGGTAGGTGGGTAGCTTTAACCATTGTTTGCAGAATTGGGTTAAAACAAGGCCTTGTAGAAACCTTGGAGTTTGAGAAATTGACAGAAACCCAGTGACAGCTGTCTCTGTCGTTATCTTTGTTTCCCCCAGGACTTCGTTAGAAACTCCAAATTCTGTTTAGACTGTGCGTGATTCTTAACAGTAATTCATTTGATGAACATATATTGTTCATCTGTATCTGTGCCAGGCACTGAAGTCATTCATTTTTCTTTTTAATTAGAGATAAGGGGTGGGGTCTTGCTATGTTGCCTAGGCTGGACTCGAACTCCTGGGCTCAAGCTATCCTTCCACCTCAGTCTCCTGGGTACCTGGAGCTACAGGTGCTCTGCACTACGCCTGGCTGAAGTCATTAGTTGTCCCTACCTGTATGAAGGTCTCAGTCTATCTAGGAAGATAGACACTAAACATACAATTGTGTACAATTATTCAATTCAGAGGTCATAAATGTTACCACGGAGACAAATGGAATGTGTGAGAGGATATTAGAACAGGAGGCCTAACCTAGTCTGGAAGGCCAAGGAAAATATACCTAGAAAATATTTAGGCTGAGGTTGAATTAATCAGGTGAAGAAGAGGAGGAGGGTTGGGTGGTTGGAAATATAGGGGGCAGAGCAAATACTATGTGAGACAGCCATGGGAAAGGAGCCTTCCAGAAAAAGAAAGAAGAGTAGAACACTGTGACATAAGGACCAGGTGTTGTGGGTTGGTAGGGAATGCCAACCAGGTGAAGCTGTGGACACAGAATGGACAAAGGTCATGTAGGGCCTTGTAAGGCAGCCATTTTGAGTATTTTGGATATTATCCTAAGATTCCTGTGAAGCAGCATACTGACATGATCAGATTTACATTTAAAAATTTGCATCTTTAAAGAGGTTTGCTTATGTTTTCAAATCACTTTTAATTTCTGGAAGATGAAACTGCTACCTACATTTTGATATGTGTGTATTTTAAAAAACTCAACTTTATTGAGATATAATTCACATACCATAAAATTTATCTTTTAAAAGAGTACAGTTCATTGGTTTTTAGTATAATCACAGAGTTGTGCAGCCATCGCCACTATCCAACTTTGGAATATTTCATTACCCCAAAAAGAAACCCTATAGCAGTCACTCCCATTGCTCCCTTTCCCTAGCCCATGGCAATTACAATCTGCTTTCTGTTGCTGGATTTGCATATTCTATACATTTCATATAAATAGAATTTTATTAATACAATGTATGGCCTTTTATGGCTGGCTTATGTTACTTAGCATAATGTCAAAATTTGTCCATGTCGGAGCAAGAATTAGTACTTCATTCTTTTATTATGTCAGAATATATATACTGTTGTATGGATCTAGCACATCTTGTTTCTCCAGTTGATGGACATTTGAGTTTCTGCTTTTTGGCAATTATGAATAATGCTGCTATGGAACTGACATTTGTATCATGCAAATGATCAGGAAGGACATACATTTCAACCTTTATCTTTAAAGAGAAGAGCTTTGTTCCTTTTTGTTCTGTAGCATATTCTGTTCAGTAAGCAGTTTCTTTTCTGGAAGACCTGTGTGGCAGTGAATATTCAACCCCATAGGTTAATGTTGACGAATTAAGAGAAATGCTTTAAAAACTTGAATTTCCATGTTGGCATTTGAGAGCAATATTTGCAGTTAATGGTGCCAGTTCTTGCTTAGTTTTGGAAGTCGGAGTCCATTGTTGTTCTAGTTGTCCGTTGACAAGTGGATGCCAAGGAATTCTTAGCTCCTCTGTTTTCATTTGAGTGACTTCTTGTCCACATTAATAGAATGTACCCGATTGCCTGTTATCAAGGTGATAGCTTTCATTTTGATTAGTCATTTCAGAGAATAAAAAGTAAATAAAAGTCAGAATGGCCTCAGTATTATGGAGTTCAGAATGTGTACCAGGATGTCACGAGTATAATGAAAAATGGTTTATGACCTGCACTGGAGCATGACTTCAGGGACAATAAGTATTAAGAGTTAGTAAATGATTAAGCAAGAACATTTTCAGACCAAGGAAAAGAGTAGGCGGTGAATGTAAGAAGTTCATAGTTTGTCATACAGGGTGGACAAAATAAAAATAGCTTTATATAAGCTATAGCAGTTTTGATAGCAGTGGTTAAATGGCAAATTAGCACAAATCAGTCAACAACTGGAAAGGTTTGGTTTATCCAGTTTAGGGTACAGGGTTTGTAAAATGATTAATTTTTTTTTTTTTTTTTTTTGAGACCGAGTCTCACTCTGTTGCCCAGGCTAGAGTGCCATGGTGTCAGCCTAGCTCACAGCAACCTCAAGGGATCCTCCTGCCTCAGCCTCCCGAGTAGCTGGGACTACAGGCATGTGCCACCACGCCCAGCTAGTTTTTTTTTTTTCTATATATTTTTAGCTGTCCAATTAATTTCTATTTTTTTGGTAGAGACGGGGTCTCACGCTTGCTCAGGCTGGTTTCAAACTCCTGAGCTCAAACGATCAGCCCGCCTCGGCCTCCCAGAGTGCTAGGATTACAGACGTGAGCCACCACACCCGGCTGTAAAATGATTAATTTTTAAAATTTAATGTGCCTGTTTGCTTGTTTGTGTTGGCTTATAACTGGTTCCTTTTATTGTTAGCGTCAGGAATGTTACCCAAGATTTCATTGAACATTTAGCAAGCTTAGGATGACTGTAAAATTGGTCCACCAGTTGTGCAAGCCTTTACAGGACACCTACTGCCGATAAATGGTCATATTTGTCAGGAGGAAGCAAGTTAACTCTTGGTCAATAGACTTCTTATTGGGAAAAATTGGTTGTTTCATAGCAGATAATAGATTAATAGTAACTGCTCTACTCTACAGTTTCATCACTGTACTTAATGTACTTACTCTTATTTATCAGACCATGTTAGAAGAATCTCATTGCCATGATTATTACAGGATTCTCACTATGTGCTTTGTGCTATTTTTAGGACTTGCCAGCATTATCTTGTTTAATCGTCGTAGTACCCTACCAGGATAGATAGATAACCAGTGACATCTCTAGTCTACAAATGAGTAAATAGAAGCTCAGCGATTAAGTGATTTGTCCGAGCTCACATGGAATGGCAGAGCCAGGATGTGATTGTGGGGCTAACTCTGAAGCTGTTATACAATCTGCGTCCCCACTTCTCTGGTGTGCTAACTCTAAGTGAATACAGAAAACATTTATTATGGAAGATTAAACTTCATCTACAGTTGATGTTCTTGAATTTTGTTCTAAACAGTGCATTCTGGTTAGAGCCTATTCTTTGAAATCTAGTTCTTAGCGTCTTACTTTGTCTTCTCATTGATTGCAGTATGACCTTAAGTAACTTCTTAATCTTTCTTGAGCACACTTTGCCTGACTGTAAGAATGTCACATGACCTGTTTGTAAAGCAGAGCTCAAGATTTCTAAAGATCTCTTCTATGTAATCTATAAGAAGAAAGGCAACTTAATCTGGTTAGTGGACTGTTAAATTCTGTTTCTTACTCTGCCATTGATTTGTTTGGTGGTTTTGAGTTAAGTCGTTGGATTATATGACTGTTTTTTTAATCTAAAGAAACAAGGTTAACGCTAGCTATTTGTTTTCTGATGTTGGATCTTTGTGAAAGAGAGGCCAACAGAGCTTTTCTAGATGGCAGAGGGTAGAGTGACTAAAGCACTGGGCCACGAGTCAGAATACCTGGGCTTAAGGTCTGGTTCTGTCACCTACTAAGCTGAATGACCCCAAAGCCTCTTCACCCATCCCTCACCCTCTCTACTTACCTTCAGGGCAGTTAAGAGAATTAAATGAGAAGTCATGTGTGAAGAAGTATTTTATACTTTATAGGTCATATGAATATAAGAGATGATTATCCTCAAAGTACCATGAGATTAGAATATTTGGAAATCTTTGATTTGATTTAGTCTTTTGTTTTTGGATTCTTAGGTGACACTTCAGTGTGTGTTTTAATTTTTGTTTTTCTTTCTTCTTTTTTTTTAGTGGTATGTGTGCAACAGAGAGAAATTATGCGAATCACTCCAGGCTGTCTTTGTTCAGAGTTACCTTGATCAAGGAACACAGATCTTCTTAAACAACAGCATTGAGAAATCGGGCTGGCTATTTATCCAATTATATCATTCTTTTGTGTCATCTGTTTTTAGCCTGTTTATGTCTAGGACATCTATCAATGGGTAAGTGAATCTTGGACATTTTTTCTTTATCCTTAGGTTTTAAAAAGGAAAAATGAAAAAGAAAAATTATCTTGTTCAACATATTGACCACCTCAGCTACAACACTTCTACTAGTCAGAATCCTTGACAGTTGGTCCAGTGTTCTAACTTTCTGTAGTTATGTTCTTTAAATTCACCTTAACTTGACAAATAGCCTCATTAGTCTATGTTTTCATGGCAGGAGTTACTCAGGGCAATGCTTCTCTGCTTTGATGTACACAGGAATCACCAGGGGATCCTGTTCAAATGCAAATTATGAGTCAGTAAGTCAGGACTGGGCCTGAGATTCTGCATTTTAACAAGCTCTCAGGTGATGCCACTGATGCTGCTGGATATTGCTGGTTCTGGACCACAGGGTGGCAAGACCCTTGGAACCAAGCCCTTAAGCTGTGGCCCTTAAGCCCTTATGCTTAGCTGTAAGATCTTTGCCTTCAAACACTTCCCAGTATTGTAGGGGGAGCTAATTAATCACTCTAACAATGGGTGATGGTCTGTTTTGAGTGAAGAGTACTACATCTGTTTTTTTTGTTTTTTTTTTTTGAGACAGGGTCTTGCTCTCTTACCTGGGCTAGAGTATAGTGGCATCATCATAGCTCACTGCAACCTCAAACTCCTGGGCTCAAGCAATCCTCCTACCTCAGCCTCTTGAGTAGCTGGGAGTATAGGCAGGCACCACTATGCCCACCTAATTTTTCTATTTTTTGTGGAGATGGGGTCTTGCCATGTTGCTCAGGCTGGTCTCGAATTCCTGGCCTCAAGTGATGTTGCCACCTCAGTCTCCCAAAATGCTAGGATTACAGGTGTGAGCCACTGCACTCAGCCTATATCTGTTCTTAAATAATGTCTAGGCTTACCAGAATTTTGTAAACTTATAGTGGAATTCTCTGTCCCCAGAGTGGTTCCCTCATATACATCCATAGAAGCAGCTCTGGGACTATTTTTTATCCTTTCTTGGCCAACTTTTCAAGCAGCCTCAAGGCTCTAGAATCCAGAAAGCCAAAAACAAAAGCAATAGGGGCTCAATGCTTAATTAAAAAGCCTTGTCGGACCAGTAAAGTCACTGGTTGGGCCCACTTTTCTTTTCCCTTGAGGGTTGGAGCCAGTTTCTACAGAATGTCTGGATCCCCAGTCTATCATCTGGTCCTTAAATATGTTTTCAGGCACTGCAAGCCATTTCTCAAGATATCTTACTTGATTTTCTTCATTGTTTATATGAGATTGCCATACGTTTGCTTCAGCAGACAGTTGTTATTTTTATATTGGTAGTTGAGTTTATAAAACTCGGTCTGACATTTTGTTCCTAAAATTCTTGTACCGAATTTCTTTTCTGTACCATTTATTCTTCCTTTGGAGATCAGATGGGTCACTGTAGCAGAGATTCTTATCCTTTATTGGGTCCTGTACCTCTGAATTCCCTCTTCAAAAAGTACTTATATTCAACATTTTACATATAATTTGGGGGATTTCAAACTCTGAAGTGCTTCCCCTTTCCTCTACCCACTGGACCCTGGTTAAAATTCCCAGCTCTGGGATTTCACAGTTTGATCAAAGAGGCAGTACAATTAATAAGCCCCTTTTGGCTTCCCTTATCTATAACTCTTCTGCTTTTTTCTTTTAAACCTCCTTTCCCCCTCAAGTCCTTCTTGCCCTCTGTGTCCTATTCTCAGCTAGACACAATTTTGAGCTCATTGGTACTTTCCAGACATGGCAGTGGTAGATTGTTACCATGGGTGACTGTCTATTACTGAAATAATTATTATGGTACCTTCTTGAATTAACTTAGGATACTTACCACACTTCCTTTATGTTGGAAAAGAGAAGGCCAGTAAGGAGACACTTGATAGCTGTTTTCAGAGTTTATTTTATAGGGCAGAGGCGTAGCCTATAGACTCTTAAGTCTAGAGAAAACGTGGATTCTGTCCAGAGAACCTAGGATGGTTATTAAACGCTGAAGTTACAGACAAATTAGAGAACTATCTCTCTCCACAGTATATGTTTACTGGAAACCTTGCATTGGGCTAGATCAGTGTCCTGGTATTTTAGGTGGGACAGTTCTTCATTGTGTGAGATTGCCCCACACTTTGCAAGAAGTCTAACTTCTGGCCTTTCCCACTAAATGACAGTAGTACCCCCAAGACATTGTAACTACTCGAAAGTTTCCCATTTACTCGCAGTGCCCCCTAGAGGGCCAGATCGGTCCTGCTTGCTAAACACTGGGCTCAGTTGATTTTATTTTTTTGACAGCGTTGACCTTTTTTACGGAGCCCCTGTTGATATGTTCTTTGCAAATAGGACACTGCTTCCTTCTTCTCTTTGGTGCCTTTAAATGTAGAACAGTCATATAGCCCATGAGCGCTGACCTCAGATGACCTCCAGCTCTAGAATTTTGTGATTATCATGTCAAAATTCCTCACATCCCAAGGAGAGGGCTTGGGAAGCATGCTATTTGTAGCTGGGAAAGTTTAAGCAAAATAACCATTTGTGACTTACTTTTGGTCCTGTGGCAGCCAGTCAGCATCAGCATTTGAAACCTGCCTCCCTCAGCCACGCTGCCTGTGGCCTCTTTCTGCACTGACTTTGGTTTCCATGTGAGATTTTGTACAGCTATTTCAGTAGGTTCTGTCCCTTTTCTCAGATTTTCTTGTTTTTCTACTATAAGATGTGAACAACTGAGGATTAAAAACAACTTGTCTTCTGTGAAATATGGTTTCCTTTGGTACGCAGTTGTAGCGGGTAGCATAACATTTAATGGTCTCTGGTGTCTTTTCCCTTCTCATTCTCCAATTTTTTAGCATTTCTTTGTGGCAGAAGATTTACTGTAAGTATGTTATTAAATTTGGTTAAACTCTTCTGTGGCCTTAATGGGAAAAGGGGAGGGGGAATTTTTTACATGAACTCCATTGTTTTTTTCTTGAAACTAGTCTTACTGGAAGCACTATGTTTCATCCGTCTTTCCAGTCACTGTATAGCAAACATATTCTACCTATGATTATTTCCAGAAAGCAGCAAAACAGTACAGATTTCCCTGCCACTTCTTAGACCTGTGGTTTTCAAACAGATTTCCAGGGTCTCAGGAGGAAGTGCCTGAGGAGCTACTTCAGGCTGCGGAGAAAGGCCTAGAAATGGACTGGCAGCAGCTCCAGGGATCTCTGCCTCATTCTAGCAGCAGCGGTTCTCTTGTCATTTTATATTCTGTATGAATTCCGCTTCATTTAAAGAAAAGGTTCTGCTGCTTAAAGGAAGCTTGAGAATCCCTGCCCTAGACAGACTTGGATTTGAGAGCTAGAAAACAAGTCCTAACGAGGGAGCGCATTTACTTCCCAAGGTGATGCTTTCACGAGACTTGGTTTGAACTATAGCTGCTTGTCCGAGGGTTCTCTTTGATGTCCATTTTAATTCCTCTCCATCTCTTTTTTCAAAGGCATTACTACGATTTTGAATGGTTTTTAGGACCTTTAGAAATAATAGGGTCCAGCCAATAGTTAAACATATAAACTGAGACAAGTATGACTCTACGTCTTTAGTGCAAATTAACTGATAGCAGAAGGACCACTCTTTTCCGTTTTTCTCTTAAAAATCTATTATACTTAAACCATATTTTCTCACCCTTTAGTTCCATATTTGAAATGGCTTTCTTCTCCATTTGATTTTTTTGCCTAGTGTTATTACCTGGTACCACGGTCTGACTCTGTTAGCCTGTCATCTTTTTAAACTGACAAACATGTTTTCTGTTACTCCTTCCACTTTTTCTTCCTATTTTGACTTAAGTTCTTCATGTTCATCTGTTCTTATTTCTTCTTCCTTGCCCTTGCATCCTTCTTTCCACCTTTTATTTCCCTCCTTCCCCCGTGCCTTTTGGGGTATTATTTGCAACTCCAAATACAAATGATGATGTCCGGAGGTATTTTATTAGCTTTGCTTTTTAATCATAATATGATTAAAGACAAATGCATATTTTAATCACGTAATAAAAATTTTATAAGTTCAAATGGTTTTTGGTGCTACATTCTCTTTGTGTGTGTATGGGGGATGCTTAATTTGCATAGACTGCTTGATTTTTGTCCTTTTTTTGCAGGTTGCTAGGAAGAGGCTCAATGTTTGTGTTTTCACCAGATCAATTTCAGAGACTGCTTAAAATTAATCCTGACTGGAAAACCCATAGACTTCTTGATTTAGGTGCTGGAGATGGAGAAGTCACAAAAATCATGAGCCCTCATTTTGAAGAAATCTATGCCACTGAGCTTTCTGAAACTATGATATGGCAGCTTCAGAAGAAGAAATACAGGTATAATTTTTAGACATGCTTTGGGACATATTTCTGGTTTTTAGATGTATTTCTTCTTGAATGTATATTATTTAAAGAATATAAATCAGAAGCAGTTTTCCATGATTAGGAATTAAAAAAAAAATCTTTCCATACAAAATTAAGTGGAAATTTAGAGAGAAATAATCTTCCCCTGGCAGAGGAGTTGGCACTCTAGGGAGGAAAGGATCTGGTGAGAGACAAATTGGAAAAGGCAAATCAGATGTAGGGACATGTTCCCTAATCAGAATCTGATATACTTAAATTTTTTTTTCAATTGTAGTAAAATATACATAACAGAATTTACCATTTTAGCCATTTTAAAGTGTACAGTTCAGTGGTACTGAGTACACGTTTGTTGTGCAAGCATCATCACCACCATCCATCTCCAGAACTTTTTCATCTTCCCAAGCTGAAACTCTGTACGCATTAAACAATAACTCCCATTGTCCTCTTCCCCTAGCCCTTTGCAACTAACATTCTTCTTTCTGTCACTAAGAGTTTGACTACTCTAAGTACCTGATATAAATGGAATCATTCAGTATTTTATGTTTGTGACTGGCTTATTTCACTTAGTGTAATGTCTTCAAGGTTCATACGTATTGTAGCATGTGTCACAATTTAAGGCTGAATAATATTCTGTTGTGTGCATATACCACGTTTTGTTTAGCCATTATCTGTCGATGGACACTTGGGTTACTTCTACCCTTTGGTTGTTGTGAATAATGCTGCTATGAACATGAGTAAACAAACAATCTGTGTGAGTCCCTGCTTTCACTTCTTTTGGGTATATACCCAGAAGTGGAATTGCTGGATCACGTGGTAAGTCTATGTTTAATTTTTTTGAGGAGTCGCCGTACTTTTCCATAGCAGCTGCACCATTTTACATTCCCACCAGCAATGTATAAGGGTTCCAGTTTCTCTACATCCTGACAATACTTGGTATTTTCTGTTTTGTTTGTTTTTTAATATATAACCATTGATAATGGTCGTGAAATGTTAAATCTTGGTTTCAGGACCATCTAGTGGTTGAGAGACTTAGGAAGAAGGATATTCTTTATTCAGTATTGATTCTGTTGGTTGGATGATTTCTGTATATTGTCTGAGTATAGAATGGGGGAGACAAAGCTGGAATCTGCCTCCTTCGCTATGATATTTTTGGTAAGCCTGGCTTAGCCTTATAGAGACAGGAGAAAGAATTATGTAATCACTCACTCTCCTATCCACATGTTTCTACTTTTACACACTAACACAAGAGACAGTATCAGTGTAGCTTTTGGAGCAGGGCTGGATTGAGCATTTGCAAAACATGGAAATGTTTAGTCTGGAGAAGGGTAGACCATGTAGGAGCAGGGAGAAATGGAATATTACTGTAAACAGATATTCAATGGGATTTTATATGGAAGAAAAGGATTAAGTATACTCTCTGGTGTAGTCAGGCACAGCTAAGCCCTAGAAGTTCATTTACAGGTTAGGGAGATCGTCATTCTTAATAGCTTGACCCGTCTAAGTCCTTATCATTGTCAGTGTTTAAGTAGCTGTTAGAGATGTTACAGGAGGAGACTTACATAGGTGTGAGTTTGAACTAAGTGATTCGTAAGGTCCCCTTTAGCTTTAACAATCTGTCTCAGATTAGATCCTGGTGGGTCTATGTAGTAATAATTGAAATATTTTCCTTCAATTAGAAATTAATTCACTATTTTAAAACTTGGAATGTTTTGACCTTTGTTAAAACAATGACTTAAGTCATGCTAAATTTCTAATCTGATTCCTCTTTCTCCCCACTTAAAAAAAATCAGTGCTTCGAAGTGGGAGGAAGGTGTTGGAATCAAATGATTGACACCCCTCCGCCTTCCCTTGGTTTAATTCTAAATGCCTAATGGAATTTTCAGTAAAGCTTCAGATGTTTGAATTAATAACATATCTAGAGTTTATATGGTATGGAATCCTGATAAATGTATCTACCACATAAAAAATACTTAGTCGAAATTTTTTTCCTGAAATATAGCACATATGCCAAAATCTGCAGTTTGGCCTAGATGGGAAATTCATACTGGTTGGCACTCCTTCCATAATATTATTTGGTATGGAGTAAAAATGTAGTCACAAAAGTGGCAAGTTTTGTGACCATTGGTGCAATTTGAGGTTTCAATGAGGAAGTAGTATCTTATCTAAGTTTAGAGTTCTCCCAACCCATGATGGCAAGGCAGACTTTCAGCTTAATTCCACATTATTTTTGCTTCTTTGTAAGATATATCTATTTTTGTTTCCCTTGAATATCTGGGCCCATGAAAAACAGGCTTTTGGGTCCGTCAAGGTGGCTTGCGCCTGTAATCCCAGCACTTTGGTAGGCTGAGGCGGGAGGATCGTTTGAGACCAGGAGGAGTTGGAGACCAGCCTGGGTAACATAGCAAGACTTCATTTCTACAAAAAATAGGCTGTGCATGGTGGGTCATGCTGTAATCCTAGCACTTTGGGAGGATTGCTTGAGGCCAGGAGTTCAAGACCAGCTTGAGCAACATGATGAGAGCCCCTTACAAAAATTACATCTCTACAAAAATTTGAAAAATTAGCTGGGCATGGTGGCATGTGCCTGTAGTGTTAGCTTCTTGGGAGGCTGAAGCAGGAGGATCACCTGAGCCCAGGAGTTTGAGGCTACAGTGAGCTATGATGACACAACTGTACTCTAGCCCCGGCAACAGAGTGAGACCTTGTCTCAATCAGTCAATCAATCAATCAATCAATTAGCTGGGTGTGGTGGTGAGGGCCTGTAGTCCTAGCTTCTTGAGAGGCTAAGGCAGGAACATCGCTTCAGCCCAGGAGTTGGAGGTTGCAGTGAACTTTGATTGCACCACTGTACTCACTCTAGTCTGGATGACAGGGTAAGACCCTGTCTCGAAAAACAAAAAAACCCCACAAAACCCCCCAAACAGGCTTTTTATTAAAGGTTCTGGATGGTATATTTGAAATAGGTAAGTAAACAGAAAATGACCACGTTTTTCCACTGTATTGCCAAGATGTCATTGTTTATGCCAGACAACCCTATTATAAAATTTAAGGATGTGGCTTGCATTTTTAAAGCAAAACAATAACTTTTTTGGTGTTTTTTAAATTTAGGATTTATCAAAATACTGATTGCTTTATCATTCTTTAAGGAAAAATGTATTTTAAGTCCTCCTGGAAGAGAAACTCTTACCTCATTTTCTTGAAAATGGTAACGCCCTAAACAGATACTCTGCTTCTAGGGTTAGAAATGCTGTTTTAGAAAAGCTATAGACATAGGAAAGAATTATGCAATTAATTCTTCATTATGTGCAATTATGAACAATTCTGTAATTCAAATGACAATAAATAAAAAACAATTTTCCTTTGGCAGGAAGAAATTTTGGCAGCATGTTTACCTTTCTCAGTCTGCTTTACCAAAAGTTGATGTTAAAATTAGTTTACATACTGTGAATGGTGGTTAGTAGATGGCAAAGGAAACAAGTGTGGCAAGAGGCTGCAACAGTGATGGGGATATTGGAATTAACTCTGCTCAGGTAGTTCTCATGCTGGTAATCAAAAAGGAATTATGTATACATTTTTTATACCAGAGAATAAAGTTTTTTTTTTAAGAGACAGGGTCTTGCTCTGTGGCCCAGGCTGGCATGATCATAGTTCACTGCAACCTCAACCTTCTGGGCTGAAGCAATCTTCCTGCCTCAGCCTCCTGAGTAGCTGAGACTACAGGTGCATGCCATCATGCCCAGCTAATTTTTTAAAAATTTTTTTGTAAAGACAGGGTCACCTTCTTGCTCAGGCTGGTCTGGAATTCCTGGCCTCCCGAAGTGCTGGGGTTACAGATGTGAGCCACTGCGTCCAGTCGAGAACGAAGATTTTTAATGTAAATTTGAAAGATGCTTAACTTTTAGTCACTCTATGTAGGTTTGGGATCTTTCTTATAAAGAAAATATTGTTGAGAATTCTGTTTCTCATGTTCATATCCTCTTTATTTTCTTATTAAGACTGAAGTCTTATTAAGTCTTATTAAGACTGAAGACAGATTGCCATTCACTCTCCACCTGCTAGGATGGAAGGGTTTATCCAAAGAATGATGTCAGGTCTTTCTTACCTTATATGGAGAGTGCAGGTTCATTGAGCTGAATAACATACTAGAATTTCCAAGTTAGAATTTTTACTCTGTCAGCGATTTGCCTTGTGAACTTGGACAAGTCACTTTTTTCATTTTCTCATAAAAGAGGAAAATTCTAATAACTTATGAGGATTCCTGGGCTAATAATTTATTAGGATTCCTGCAGTTTGAGCAGGGCTATTACATTTGTCTTCCTCAATGGAATTGAGTTTACAAATAGAAATCACAAAATAGAAGTAAAGATGAAGTTGAGCTTCTGTAGGTATAGGTTTAACTGTCCCAGCCTTAAAGTCATAATTTTCTGTTATATGTATTTTTCTCTTTCAAAATTGCCAATATGGAAACTACCTGTCTGAAGCTATTTCTGAGGTAGATTTAGTGAGATTATTCTAGATTAAAATATGCTGAAACTGTTTGGCTTCTGCTTTATTGTAGATAGACATAAAATTTTGTTTTGTTTTTTTAAATCGAGTATAAAATTTGTTTTTTATATTATTTTAAATTGGCTGGTTAGCTAAGGCATTAATATACAAATAGTTCTTTTTAATTCTTCATTTCACTTCTTAAAGTAGGAATTGATGAAAGTTTTATCACGAAAGTAGAATCTTCTCAGTGTTTTGAAACTCTTCTTTGAATAAATGTAGTTTTTAAAATTACTGTCGCAGTTGACTTCTGTCTAGCAAAGTGATTTTGAAGCTCCGATGCCCTTCTTATTTCAAACAATATGTAGTATGGTAAAACACCTGTAAGACAAAGGAATCTGACCAGTCCCTTGAAGTTTGTTAGACTGTTGTTTGGAAGAGGCTTTAGTTTTATAAAAATATAGATTAAAAACAAGATGCATCTGAGTGGTTTGTGTTCCTTTTTATTCTACTATTCAGAAATGCAATAAAATATGCTAATGAGTTTTTTCAAAACAGCTCTCATTATACTTTTAGAATTTTCTAAAATAGCTCTACTGTATCTCTTCAGCATTAGTAATGACTTACTTACCAAAGATCCTTTTTCTTGTTTCCTTATTCACCTCCCTCTATCATAACTTGTCTCACCTACCACATTCTGATTGGTATTAACCAGGCAGGATTAAGTAATTTGTAGAAGTGCCTTAATGGTGTGGCTAACAAAGACTCATGATATAAAAACTCTCCTTTCTGTATATAAAAATGTTATAGAGTAGCAATCCCCAACCTTTTTGGCATCAGGGACCAGTTTCATGGAAGATAATTTTTCCACAGACCAGGGGCAGGGGAGGGGATGGGGGGATGGTTTTGGGATGATTCAAGCGCATTACATTTATTGTGCAGTCAAACCTCTCTGCTAACAATAATCTGTGTTTGCAGCCACTCCCTAGTGCTGGCATGATCACCTCAGCTCCACCTCAGATCATCAGGCGTTAGATTCTCATAAGGAGCACGAAACCTAGATCCCTCGCATGTGCAGTTTACAGTAGATTTTGAGCTCCTATGAGAATCTAATGCTACTGCAGATCTGACAGGAGGCGGAGCTCAGGCGGTGATTCAAGCTATTGGGAGCAGCTGTAAATACAGATAAAGCTTCCCTCACTCACCTGCTGCCCACCTCCTGCTGTGTGGACCAATTCCTAACAGGCCATGGACTGGTACCTGTCCGTGGCCTGGGGCTGGGGACCACAGTTGTAGAAGACTAAAAATGTTCTCTACAATTAGGGTGTGTGTGTGTGTATGAAAGAGAGAGAGAGAGAGAGAGAGAGAGATAATTGAGGGTTGAAAGTAGTTTTTAAACCATGCTCTTTACTTATAGTTTTAATGGGATATACTGTATTTTTTTTTTCTGTATAGTTATTCAGATACAAAGATTTCTAGAGTATGAAATTATATCTCTTCTGGGAACAGAGATGTGCTCAAAAGGTCATAGGTTATAAGTGGAAATTATATCACTCCCAGCCACTCTTAACAATAGGAGGGACACTAGGAATAGAAAACATGAATGTATAATGTATTTTATGATTAAATTCCAAGGAATGTTAAAAAGCAGGACTCTTTTGTTCATTGACCGTTGTTTAAGAATTTGATGTCTTAGTTTTATAACCGGTTTTATCAGCTTTTGTCTTTGTATTTGTTAAACGTATAAGTTCTTGTACAGGAAACTTTGTGCATTTTGAGATTTGGAAATAGCTTAAATGTTAAATTTAAAGAAATATAGTTGTTATTTTTCTTTTGCTTGGCCATTTTATTACTGCAAATATAAATTAGAAGATTCTGAATTTACTTTGATTTAGAAGACAAGGTTAGAGCTTTTACTGGGATCTCGATTATTTTTACAGATATCTTTGAAGGGGAGTTTTATTAATCCAGGTATTTCTGATTTTTCCAGAGTACTTGGTATAAATGAATGGCAGAATACAGGGTTCCAGTATGATGTCATCAGCTGCTTGAATTTGCTGGACCGCTGTGATCAGCCCCTGACTTTGTTAAAAGATATCAGAAGTGTCTTGGAGCCAACTAGAGGAAGGGTCATCCTTGCCCTGGTCCTTCCCTTCCATCCCTATGTGGAAAACGGTAAGTGTGGTCAGACCAGTTCTTTCAGGGATAGCTGCTTATTGGTATTTGTGATTTTATGGTGTGCACAATTAAACATTGTCTAGTGCTTCTTAGAATAGCCTGGAATTTAAAATAATACAGTAAATCCATGTAAAATATCACCTTGGTTAATGTTTATCTTAAGGTGGATTTTATAGAACTCTGGCACTTTCTTTGCAGTGGTAATAATTAATACTCAGCTGGGTCTGACTGCTCAAAATTGAAAGCCTAACAGGTGTCTGTATCTGTGTTTTTAAATGGAGCTTGAACTGTTTATATATTAGCTTATAAACTAATTAAGCAATAAATGATGCCTTTTAATCTACTCCTATACTTGCTGAATGTTATGGCTGTTTTTTTTTTGCATTTTGCATCTCTTATCCCAGACTATAAAAATGATAAATGCTGTTATCTGTTTTTCCCTTTTGAAGACCATTTGCATTCTAGCATGTATCATTTCTGTGTATAACGTTTGATTTTTTGATTGCATGGTCTTGCTCTTCAGCGATATTGAATGAATACATTAGAAGAAATGGATTGATTTCATATCACTTCATATTTACTATAATTAGTGTGGTTTGTATTTTAGGTCATCTTGAAAGTTATGACTTCAAGTCTCCTTTGCATTTTTGTAAGTTAATATAGATTAATATAAAATTACTTATTGTATAAGCAATACATGTTACTATTTAAAAATCTTTAGTTTTTCTATTCTACTACCTAGTTTGACCTTGGCTTCAAAAAACTTAAGAGCTCAGAGACATTTTTAAGGAATCCGTCATTATTTTGCAAGTGTCATAGTTATCAAATACCATGAAAGTCTCTGTCTTAAGGAATAATGCTCATGTTTCTTATAACCATGGAGTTCTGCATGGATTTGTGTTATCACTTGCTTGCTCCTTAGTTTTTTCTTGTCCTTATTTCCCCCACCCCCCAGGTCTTAGTCCCTTCAGATTTAATGCTTGTCTTAACATTTATCAAATCGTTTGAGATTTGTGTTGATGGTGGGGAAAATGGGGAATTCTTGAGATGTGGAAGGGAGTGGAAGAGAACAGATAGAACAGATGTCCCCTCTCCCATCTTATATTACATTCCTATTGTTGAATAGTTTGTCATGGTAAAGAAAAAAACTGCTTTAAGTGTGTGTCCATATATCATCTATATGTTACACAGTGAAAAATGCCTAGTAAATGTCCTTCTTGGTGATTCAGCAACCTGATCTTATTTCAGTGCTATTCCCTGTGTAATTAAGCCTCAGCTCCATCTCCATTGCACTCACTAGTCATCAGTTTGCACGATCTTGGCTTCCTGTGTCCTGTTGGGCAACCACGTGATAGAACTTTAATGCTACTTCCTGGCATAGCAGGAGGTGGAAGAGCAGGGGGAAGAAACATCAATCTAAGCACGACTTTTATTTCCTTGTGTTCTGACACTAAAAATGGAAAGGAAGTCAAACTAGACAAGAGGGCAGTCTCCACTAAGGATTGAAAACAAGCTCCTTGATTGTGGATGTACAGAGCTTGCTTTTTGAGTCTAAGGATTCTGGCACATGACACATTGCAAATCTGAGACAAGAAGCCTTGTTGCTGTGGGTGACCTTTAGTGACCTATAAATTTTGCAGACTGCTTCACGGCACTCTATTATTGCTTCCTTTCTCTAAGTCACTAATTAGATCCTGATGATTTTCATGTGAAACTGTGAGGAGTGGGAGGTACAAAATGATCTTGCTGTGTGAATTCTTGAATACCGGACTGTTTTAACGATATCTGAGTGTGCTTTGCATTCTTGGCTTAATTTATTTTTTAACAAAAAACAGTTGTAGGTGAAATGATTACTTGTGTAATTTTTTTGGTAAATGTCTTGAAGTTGAACCACAACCATTTTGTTACTTAGGTTAATTTAGGAAAAAACAAAATTCAAAAATACATCTTTCTAATCTATTAATATAGTTTATTTGGTTTACTGGCCCAGTTTTGGTTAGGGGTTGTTAAATCTAGTGAGAATCTAGAGAGATAGTGTATGCAAATACAAGTCTATGTGTACATTAAGGAACTATTTATACAGCCCTTTGGCAACTTTATCACTTTTTCCTGGGGTCATTGGTCTAATTAAATTAGACATATTTAGTCTTAAAGCTCTCATCCATCTAGATATTGAGAATTGTTTTAAGTACTAAAAAAAGGAAAAGTATGTAATCAAGAAAAGGAGAGTTACATTGTAAAAATGAAAATTTAATGACATTTAATTTTTCAAAATTGTAATTTTTATTAAAAAGTAATTAAGGGTAAAAGTTCAAGCAGCTTGGGATAGGGTGTACAATGAAAAGTTTCTCACCCACTCCAGTTCCACAACCTTGTTCAGGTATCTTAAATATTCTTCAAAAGATAGTCTATGCAAATATAAGTATGTATGTACATTAAAAAATTACTTATACAGATAGAAGCCCATTATAAATACTTTTGCTGCCGTTTTCCACTTAAATGTATCTGAGAAAGTATTTCTTACCAGCGTTCCATGTCTCCACTGTCTGATGTAAGCAGCAGTATGCTGGAGCAGCCAGGACTGGCTCATGATAGCCGATTGTTACATTGGTAGGGATTTAGTGAACTGCTTGCTAAAGGTGGCTCCTATTGAAACTAACCGTGTATTTATACCATGGAAATTGGTGAACACTACAAATAGCCTCGCCCTTCTCCAAGCTGGGTGTTAAGACTTACCAGCACACTGCTGCAGTGTGCAGCTTTGCTTGGGGAGGCCCCTGTTGATGCCCTTCGAGATACCAGCATTTGGCAGACATTTTTGTCTTATTTCTAACTTTAATGAAAATATTTCTATGTTAAATATTATGCTGTTTTTTTTGACTTGAGTTCGATGTTTGGCTTGAGATAGTATGTTTTTAAAATCCTGTTTTATTAAGAACTTAAAAAATCAGGAATTTTGTCACCTAAGTTTTCAACATCTGTGGAGGATGGTCATATTGTTTTTCCTTCCTTGACTTATGAAATTAATAGTTCTTTTCAGATCTCCCTCTCTCTCTGTCTCTCCCCACCCTTGATTTTTGGGCTTAAACTCAATAGTCTTTTTTTTTTTTCCTTCTTCCTAGACACTGGGTTTTACTCCGTCACCCAGGCTAGAGTTTGGTGGCATGATCATAGCTCATTGCAGCTTCAAACTCTTGGGCTCAAGTGATCCTCCTGCCTCAGCCTTTAGAGTAGCTGGGGCTATAGTTGTGTGCCACCATGCCCAGCTAATTTTTAAAATTATTTTTTGTAGAGATGGTGTCTTGTTACGTTGACCAGGCTGGTCTTGAACTCCTGGGCTCAAGGAACCCTCCTGCCTTGGCCTCCCAAAGTGCTGGGATTACAGGTGTGAGCCACTGTGCCCAGCCAATAGTCTTTTTTTTTTTTTTTTCTTAAATGCATCACTAGATTCTATTTACAGAAATTCAAAATAAAAATAGGAGCGTTAATATTATGGATAGTGATATTTGTTCTGTACCCAATCATTTTTTTTTATTTATATGATTTATATGGAGGGAAGACATTATATTTTGTTATATTTTGGTATCAGTGTTCTGATGTTGTAAAAAATAATATGGAACATTATGCTCTATATTCTGTTCTTTGAAAGTTTGGTAGAATTCTCTTGTGAAACTATCTAGGCCTGTGCTTTTTGAGTGGTATATCCCTGTGGCAACCTTCTTACTTTCTTCTGGGGCCATTGGTCTGATTAAGTTAAACATGTTGAGTCTTAAAGCTCTCATCAGTCTAAATAGAAATAAGCAACTGACAGAACTGTTTTGTGGAAAGATCTTGGGTTTTGGGGGCTGACCCCTGTTTGAAATATGGATTACTTGGGCCTGTCATTGATCTTAGTGTTTCATCTGCAAAAAAAGGGGCTAATACCTACTTTGAGGCTTATTGTGAGAATTAAATAATCTAACATATAAGACAGTGCCCAGCTGCGTCTGTCTCATTACTGGTATTTAATAAATGTTAGATTCATTTGATTCTATCTTATTCTATTACTTTGTTTGTGGCTTTATTGATTATACTTGTTCACAGTTTTTCAGACTGAAATAATTGTATCTTTTAGATCTGTCTGAAACTCGTAATAATCAGAATTTGAAGTCTTCTTTCTGCTTTTTAACTTTATCTCAATAAAGTCTGTGCATTCTCCATTGTTTTATGTTAATTGATGCCACAGAGGCTTAACTGTCTGCCTAATAGCCAGGATTTCAGATTCTCTCAAGACTTACATGGTATGAAAAAAAAATTACTTATTTTAAAAATCCTATTAGCATCTTTTGGTATATGGTTTAAGAGCTCTTGTCTAGAGGGTATGTAGACACTAGAACACCTGTTTCCCTCTTAATGCTGTGTTATGGATTACATGTTTGCACCCCCCCAAAGTCATATGTTGAAACCTCTCTCTACCCCTGTTATGATGGCATGAGGAGATGAGGCCTTTGGGAGGTAATTAAGATGAGCTGAGGACGGAGCCCTCATGAATGTGAGTAGTGCCCTTATAAGAGTTCTGAGAGATCTTGCTTCTCTCTGCTCTCTACCACATGAGAGTATAATAAGTTAGCAGTCTGCAGCTGGGAAGAGGGTCCTTACCAGAGCCCAACCATTCTGGCATCCTAATCTCAGACTTCCAGCCTCCAGAACCATGAGAAGTAAATTTCTGCTGTTTATAAGCCACCCAGTCTATGGTAATTTGTTATAGCAGCCCAAACTATTAATAAAACAAATTGTTTCAGTATTGCTCACTTTTCATTGTCCTGGGAAATTCAAATCTAATCAGAAAACTATAGTTTAATCTTTTCCAATGAATATTCTTCTGGATGCTCAGATAGCAGGAAAATTAATAGTGTTAGGGATTCAATGAACTGTCATTATGGAAAGGGGTGAGCGTTGATGGCTAGGAAGAGAAGTGTGCCATGCATCTCAGTTGACATGCTGAAAGAGTATTTTTCTATAGAAACATTGTTCAATTGCATTTTTTATATAAACACATTCGAAGGCCTACTATGTACCAGGTAGTGTGCTAGGCAGTGGAAATACAAAGATAAATGGGAATTGTGCTTCTACTCTTAAAACACAGAGTAATATAGAAAATAGATGTAAAGAGATAATGGCGTGATAAGAAATATGACCAAAGTACCATAGGGTTAGAGAAAGAAAGTTCCATTAAATGTTGGGGGAGTTAGGGAAGGTTTCATGTTGGGGCTGACATTTGAGCTTTGTTTGTAATCTGAAGCGTTTTACCAGGCAGAGGGGAAGAGCATATTCAAAAGCATGAGGGTGTGAACAAGATCCAGGGTTAGGGTAGGGCAAGTTGTGTGACTCAAGGATAATATGCAAAAGAGGCCTTTGATTGTATAATAGTGTGGTACTCGATAAGTATTGTTGGCTTGATGGATGAATAAATGAATATTATATATACATCAGCCACTCTTAATACATGACTTAGACGAATAGAACTCCTTTCTTTTGGAAAGTGGATCCCTTAAAAATCAATCTTTGAAACACAATCCTTACATTTGGGAAAGGCATATTCTGAATCAAACACTAGTTCATCTTAGAGATTTTGTCTCCTTGTTAGCTACACAAAGAGCAGCATATGTTCAGCTCTGGAATTAAGTACCAAAATGTAATGACTCCCAGAAATGGAAAGTAAATGGTCTAATTCAACACTTCTTCTATTCATCTAGATGGAATTAGTACTTGCCAATGTTTTTACAGTCTGGTTTAGAAGTTCATTTATTTCACCTGAGCCAGTGGTCTCAAAGTGTGGGGGTATACACCTCAGGGAGTATACAAGACAATTTATTTTCGAATATAGGAAGAAAATATTAGCATTTCTATTTATATTGCTGTTTATACCATTGTTTAATTTCCATTTTTCTATATAAGATACAAACGTACATAGCCACACATACACATACATGCATACACTATACACAACACACATATATAACATATATGCACACACACGTGTACAAGTACATACAAATAAAATGAGATTACATGCTCCCTCCTCTCCTCTTTGCATTTTTCTGGACACATGATCAGAAGGGTTTGATATCACTGATTTAAGTGCATCAATGCAAAATGATTTCAAAGGGATCTTAGAATATTTTAAAATTCTATCTAGGTTTTAAAAAGAATATGTCTCATTTAATACCAGTTTAAAAGAAACACTTTAATGAAATAAACGTAATAGGTCATAATTCATGTTTAATAATGAATGTACTCTTGTGGATGCGTTAGATTTTTTTATACCGAAGTAGCTTTCAAAGAGCAATCCATATCATGTTTTCTTAGTGAAGTGGTAATGAATTCTATAAATATCTTTGCTGTACCCAGCCCCCTATCTGATATTAACCTCCTAAATTGGTTAAAAATCAGTATTGCGAATATACTCCTAAAGTCAATGCTTGCTGCACACGCCTTCCCTGGTGCTGTTTATTTGGCACAACACTGACATCTAGAGTCAGTTGTGGCTTATTTGTTCTGTTACCTGCTTTGGATTTTCTTTATTTTGGCTTTTATTTTCTTCCTCTACTCTGTATTTTCACTTTTCGCAGGAAGCATAATGTAAGTTATTTTGCATACCCTGGCAGGCAAATGTGCATTATACCATTGCCCCATTATAGTATCAGAGGAAATAATTTTCATGCTAAGGACTTTTCACAATGAATTTTTCTGACTCATATTTTGGCACTTTGCTCCCTCCCAGCTATTCTGATTGTCCCATCATTTCCGCAACCCAGAAAGATGATTCTTCCACTCAAGATTGAGGCATGTAGGGTTTGATTTCAAGTCTTCAGGGTAGCAGTCATCACGTACCTCATATTTTGACTGAAACAAACTTAGGGTACATGTTATAAAAGTTTTTGAAAATGTTAGGCTGCTTAGAATTTTCTTGGCAAATTAGGAAAGCATTTTCAGTTGCTTTTTGTTGGGTTTTTAGTATTTTGGTGGTTACTATTAGTTATTGTTTCCTCATACTCTGGCATCTTCTTTGGAGACAGTTGTCTTTTCCATTTACCTTTGATTGCTTTTTTTAAGACCTGTTGAGTCTCCATTAACACTGCCGTAGCTTCTGGAGTTGGGTTTTCAGTGACTTAATTGAAAATTAAAATGTTTCTATGATCTTTCATAGTTGGAAAGTGCTCTTCTGTTTTCATAAGTGGTGTTGTCTTCTTTCTCCTGCAGTGGTAAATAGTGAGCCGTGTTTAAGGTTATGTAACCAATGATGTCATCCTCCAAGCAACACAGAAGCCATTATGCCATCTTGCATCCTGGGTCCTAAGTACCCTTACAGTATTCTTAAAGGCTAGGTTACCATCTTCCCTGTATGCATTTAGAGTAGGATGTGGGAACTGAAAAATAATTTTCCTGTTCAGTTGCCATTGTCAAAACCCTGGCTGGGAACTTTACGATTCTTACTTCTAGGCCTACCTTCACGCCACTTACCTTTGCCTCTTTGTTGAAAAAGATGCCTCAGCCTCAATAAGAAAAAAGTGTGCCCAGGCATTTATAATTATTCAGCATGACATCTTAGGTAATTAGACCATCCATCATATTTATGTATTTGTATATACACTGAAGGATGAAATGACTGCTTGGACAATATTCTGTCCTTGGAAAAAAATCCAATATATCTTGTATCAGTCTCCTGTTACATTTGCCTCTTGGCTGCTATTTAAGAAGAAAATAGTTTTACTAGTATATAAATTCACATTGTTTTCTGTACATTTTAGTTTAAATCTGAGCTATCTGATCATGCATCATGGAAACCAAGTATCTGTTGTAGTAGCTCTAAAACAGCATCTTGTTTGAAAAACTTGTTTATATAGCACTTTAGAGAAACATTGTCAGAATGTATTAGATAATATAGATGTATTCTTCCTATCAATCCAACTCCAAAGACTGATGAAATACTCATTTTTTATCTCATTAACTGCATCTTTTCTAATGTGAATTTATTTTTGCCTTATCAGTAACAAGTAATTTTTTCTTCATAATTTGATCCACAAATGTTTGCAGCATCTATATAATGCCTACTACTGCGTGCAAGATGCTGTACAAAGTAGCTTCTAAGCCATCCTTTTAAAACATCCTTATCTATTTTGAAAACATTGCCTGTGTCCAGTGTGTTTCTGAGAGTTTCCATGTCACTAAGATATGAGCCTGGGGCTATTTAATACTGTCTCAGGTGTTTTTTGTTACGTGTTTATCAAAATAGGTTCTATACAAAAATGCATTTTATGTGACAGTCCTCTTTTAGACTGTTCTGAAGGAAAACATGGTTATTGACAACTTGTTGGCCGCTTCGTTTTTTCAGACATGCTTTATGTCTGTGTTACCTTTTTTTTGATATTTTACACTTACAGGTTGTTGGCTTGTTTCCACATATCTCTTATGGTATAGTTCTTGAGCAATTTCCTGAAAAATACGCCGAGCACTCTTCTTCTGTAAATACAAATGGGAAAAAAAAAATCTTTCTTTGAGGACTATTAGCAATGATTATTGCACACCATCAGAACCTTTTCTTTCTTTATTGCCACCAGTCTCAGAAACTACGCCCTCATCCATACCTACAGTTAACTCTTTTTATTTTAAGTACATTAAATAGAATTTATGGTTGAGAACTGTCAAATTTAAATCACAGTTTACCACTTGAGATTATATTATCTTTGCGTTTCTCAACAATAGGAAACATTAATGTTTATGGTTGAAAGTTACCATGATATTCTCTGTGTTTCTTAAAATATTTCAGATTTGAAATAGTTACAACCAGCCACAACTTTAAAAATATTTTGCAAGTGTTGGTCTTTACCTTTTGGGAATCATCTTTTGTTTCTTTCTTTCTTAGAGTGTTAGATTTTGACTGCTAAGAAGAAAAGAAAAGTATATAAAACATTTTATGCACTCATAATTGTGACAGATAATCTCATACCATAATAAGATTAAACTATCTTAATATTTAAATGATATACAATAAGAGATCATTTTTATCATTTCTGAGATGCTGTTATTCCATTAAGAAAGTAATTGAACAACTCAAACTGGTGTCAATTGTAGGATTTATAGTAATCATACCACAACATGTATATACCCCCTCTTATAACATGCTCAGCCAAAAGATACTCTTTCTTAGTAGTAACTGTAGGCCTTTTTTGAATATTTTAAGGCAGCTTCTAGTCTCTTCATTAACCCCTTTTTGTTCTTAAAGACTATTCTTAGGGCTTTCATATATAACAATAATATTCCACTCCTACCTCCCCACCCCTCACCTGTGCAGCAGAAAGATAGCATAGATGGTTCTGTGCTTTAAAGCCCATATAATAATAATAACCCTATAAATTGTGTACTCTGGTTAATCATTTCAGTGATGAGAATTTATGCCTCCTTCTACAGCCCTCTCCTGCAGGTGGTGTTCCCTGCAGATGCAAAGGAAGATATTAGGTGAACTCTTTCTGAGGCTCACAAGTTGTGGAGAGATGGAAATTATCTTCCTTGTGATAACTTTCAAGGCTATAGGGAAATCAGTGTAAGAAAATGTGACTTACTTTGGAGAGGACTATGAAGACGACACACACACCAGTAATGTAGACAGACAGCAGTGACAGGACAGCTATCAGGAAACTCTGCAGTTCCTTGCTGAGAAGCTTAGTTTCTTAATTACAGAAACAGAAAGAAACACAGTCACAATTGAAGCATATTCCTGCAATACATATATAAAGTATAATTGATGCTGCGTGTTAGAGGTGAAATGTGCACTTTCTCTGCTTGCCTGTTCATATAAAAATTTGTTCAGGGTTTCTTGATTCAAAAGACAGTCAAGTATGTGATAGTTAAAGTCAGTTCATTGGTTCTTTAACGTATTATACCAAAAGCATTACTCATTTTTAAAAATTAAAAATTCATTTATCCATTTGTCCTAATGCTAAGAATTGTTTTTTATATAAAGCATTACTTGAAGTTAGATGAACATTTCAAGATAGTTTGTTTAAGGGAATTTAAAATTTCTTTTGGTAGAAATGCTGTACAAGTGTCATTAAGAGTGTGCTTATGTAGTTAAGACATTTTCACATGTATTGTTAATGCTGACATTTATAACCTTGGAGCTGTTTAGTGTACATAGCTGAATAGCGCGTCTGTAAAAGAACCTGCAAAGACCATGCGTTGTAAGCAAGCATTGCTTGCTTAAAAGACAGGTGTTGTTATTGCTACATGTACTCTTCTTTCTTTATGTAATAATGAAGTTCTGAAAGCAGAATTATTGAATCCATTTTCACATTCTGAATTTCTCAAGCGTCCTGTGCTCTAGGTAAGAATTAAATAACATGCCTTGTCTTCAGGTAGCTGATTATTTGAAGTACAAAATACAGTTACATGTGTAATTATTATCTGAATAACCTGAAACTAAATATCCCATAGATGCTTATCCTGTGAACTCAGTTTATACAGTGTACATTTTTTATATGTGAAACTAATGAATTAACCACATCTATGCAACTTTGAAAGAAAAAATTTCAGTGCTAAATGAGGAGCTCTCTATAGAAAAGGCAGGAAGTTGCCATGCCTGTCTTAAAAAAACCTTCATTTCTGCTCATAGAGAAGAATCTCTTCATATAAGCCTTGCAGTTGTAAAGACCTTCATCTCTTTACAAGCCATTTTTCCTTTTGACTAACATTTTTTTATAGAAGGCTAATGCAGTGAGACATATAAATATCTAAAGTTGTCAGGTGTGTGTTCTACTACCAGTAGCTAACGTTTACTGAGTATTTGCTATATGGTAAGCACTATTAAAAGTGCTTTGTATAAATTAACTCATTTGTAATTTATAAGTGAGAATAACTAAGGTTAAATGCCATTCAAATATTCAGAGCCCTTTAGAACATCCCTGGGAGTTAAAAGCAGCAATTATGATACTGGATGATCTCAGATCCTTGGAGTCCTATTTTAAAACTAAAGGGCTGATTGATTTTGAGCTCATGTTTTAATGATCTCAGTGCTCATCATACCAGAGTCCTTTCTAAGGGAAGAGATCCAACAATGGCAAGGAGTTACTGCTGCTCTCTTTCTTGCCCTAGAATCAAGTGAAACTTTTTCTTTGAAATTTCTTAATCTCTGACTAGTCAAGGAATGACTTGGTGAGATTACTGATAGGATTTAACTAGGTTTCATGTCCTCACTTGGGTGAGGAATTGTCACGGGTTTTGGCAAATCTCAGGAAGCCAGAGCCATCACTCTCAGTTCTTTGTTATCCATGCAGAGTGGGAAGGCTCAGGGATCCTCCAGTGGCTTCTCTCCAACTTTGTGCTAATTCTCCATAAGGCATATTTTCTCTGAGTCCAATGTATTGATCATTTATGTTTCTCTAGTGCTTTGTTTTAGGTGGTGCAATACCAGATCAGGTCCTAAGAAAGCTGATAGTTTCTCATCACAAGTTTCCTTTGGTACATTACACCAAACCATTGTAATATACAGAAAGGATGAAAGTGATTGGTTAGCCTTCACTAGTAAAGTCTGGATATCGAGAGAGAATGTAGCAACTGCATACCACTGACTTGGTGTCCATGGATGTTGGGAGGTGGGGTTGGAGTAGTTCTTTAATCCAAATCTCATGGCAACTTGTGCTCAGATCATGCCCTTCATTGGCTAGGGTATTAAATTAGCAAGTTTATCTCATGATTTTTGCATGTGAGTAAATTCTGTAATGATTGTAAGTCTGAGCAAAATGCAAGGATGCACTGAAATAAAGCCGAACTGACTGACCTCTTACTACCAGCGTGGTCCCTCCTCCGGTTTGCTTAGCTCTGGGTCCCCGTGCACTGGGAAATGCTATTCCACAGATGTAAATTGCACTGTCATTTGAAGTCACTCTGTTTACAGTGAGGGAAACTTGGTTTTGTGCCAGGGTTTCCCTTACTGTGAATTTGTCTGCCTCACTTCGGCATCCGTCCAAGCACAGGTTCTCAGGCTGGTGAGTGCCGTAGCGAAACCACAAGCTTGTTGGATGCTCTGAAGGGCATCCAGTGTCAGAGAAGTTACACTCTATGGTGACAGCCTTGTGAGTGTAGTCCACCTCTAGGTAATGTGGTTGTGTGACCGAGACAGTACAGGCACCCACAGCACCTGTGGGAGGAAGCAGATGGTGGTTTAGTGGGCTTCTCACCTCACTTTGCCTGTGCTTTTATTTATATTTTCTGGCTAGGAAATCCAGCCATTTTCTTACCTTACTCCCAGTGCAAACAAGACTAATACACCAGTGGTCCTCGCTTGTTCTAACTCCCCATGTTTCTGACGTTTACCTGCTGGTTTGTGTGATGTCTGGTTACCTGAGGATGGCCCCAGAGAGGTTCCAGTGAAATCAGCATCATGAGCAGAGGTAGCAGCATATCTGGAGTCTGAAGTTTGGGGTCCAGGTGTACATTCTTGCTACTTACAAGCTCTCCTTTGATCACCTGCAGATCATGTAATCTCCCAGCCTGCTTCATCATCTGTGCCCCTCCCCTCACAGGATTGCTGTTTCCAGTGTGGTGACCTGTGTCCAACTCCTCGAACAAATGTTGCTGCCGCTGATGGAGCACATGAGCAGTATCGATTTTTGGGTTTTGTGGGGATTGGGATCGCTAGGAATTCAGGGCAATTCACAATTGTTTCTTTGTGAGCCTGGTGTCCCTTCGGGAAACATGATAAAGGGCAAGATGTACACCTGTGGAAATCCAGCCCTGGCTTATCCTACGATGTCTTTGATTACTGAGCAGAGGCCAACCGAGCTAGCCATGCCATGGCTAGGCAGATTCGATTTCTTCCTGGCACGGGTATACTCTGTGTGGGTGCTTGTAGCATTTATCTTATTTGATTGACAATATTGTGATAAAGAACACAGACTTGAGTTCAGATCCATCTTAATCTCAAGTTGTCTTTCAGATAAAGTTTTTAAAGGGGAAGCTAAGGAGCTGGGCACAGTGGCATGTACCTGTAGTCCCAGCTATTTGAGAGGCTGAGGTGGGAGGATTGCTTGAGCCCAGGAGTTGGAGGCCAGCCTGGGAAACACAGAGACCCCATCTCTATAAAAGAAATACTAAAAAAT